CAGTTCCTTTTTGGTGAGCTTTTTAGCGCTCCGCTCTGCCCGCAAGCTCCTTCCATCATGGCTATTGGCTGCAGCGTCCACATCAAAGAAGGCATTCATCTGCCGGTAGGATTTATTCTGATCATTATGGTTCTCGGGATTCTGTGATTCATTCTGCCATCGCCCGGTGAACCGGTTGAACGCACCAACCGCCGCGTAGTGATCCGTACCGGGAGCCCCGGCAGTTGTATCCTCGGGCGGCTGCTCATACTGCTGGGCGTACGGAGCCGTTGGGTCGTAGTCACCGTGGATCGCAGGGTTATAGCCACCTACCACGGGCGCGGCCTTCTCCGTGGACGGAGCGCTGGTCTCTACGCCAGGGGGACCTGCTGGCTCCGCCGCCGCCTCCGGCACGCGCGGGTTGTCCCACTGCGACACGCCTGTGTAACGATTATAGAAGTAGTACGCTCCAACGTTGGCATCCCAGACAGGTTCCCACCCATCGTCATCACCGGGAGGAGCTTCGTTGGGAAGCGGTGGTGGGACCTCTTCATCTGGTAATGGTGGCGCTGAAGCTTCTCCTTCCTCCTCTTGACCTTCCTCATGCTCGGAGGCATCTCCCTTATTTACTTCATCACTTTCCTCGCGCTTTTTGCCTTTTTGCTGTAGTTCCTCCCTTGTGTCCTCCTTAGGCCTATTTGGTGCCTGTGCCTGTGTCTCTGTCTGGTCTCCATCGGGGCTGTTTCCTTCCTGGTTCACTGGGTCATTTCGCCCCTCCGATGGGGATGCTGACGGATTGTCAGTTATGTGCTTGGAGGGTGTCTCGGACATTTTGGTTAGCACTTCTTGTTCCCTCGAGAGTGCGCGTCAGAGCCGTGGCAGAAGTGCAGAGGATCCTGCGGGTAGGGTGAATGATCGAATTGAATTATGCGGACGCCGTATCGCGACCACACTAACCAATTCGGGACTAGTCCCCCTCTTCCCCAAGATATCGAATCGAAGATGAGCATCACGATCATAGTAGTAGTACATCGATATACCATCGACATATGATCCTCACTTCTCAAGAACAAAATCAACCACAGTTATTCGGCTCAATCCAGCAATACCAACAAAACAAAACAAATGTATCCCTAACCCCAGTAAACCCCGACGTAAACAAAAACAGCCCACTTAAGGTACTAACTAGGTCACTCGCAATCAAAACTCCGTCCCCTTTCAAAGCGTCAACCGCCTCAGCAACCCACTCCTGGCACCGTCTCAACGGCTCCCGCGGATACAACCTTCTCGCCCCTTGGAACTGCTTTTTTGGCACCGGCACACCCTCGCAGATCCCCAAGACGCGTCCGTACTCCGCAACCGCGACCACACCCAGCTTCTCCTTGCCACAGAACCCCGGCATCTCCTCCGGCGACAGCTCAGCGCGGTGCTCGAAGATCATGCCTTCTTAGATGTTCCCTTTGACATGGTAGATATGGCCGGTGGAGGGGCCGTTCTCGTGAGTCTCGACGAAGAGGGCGTGTTGGTCGCGGGGGAGGAGGCGCCGCTTTCGGCGATGAGGTAGATCGGGTGGGTTGCCATTTATCCAACTTGACTCTTCTAGCTACTTCTAAATTCGTGGGGTGGGTTTTTGTGGGGGTTTGGGATCAATAAAACTCTTTTCCTCCGGGTCAAAGTAAGGTAGTATTGGAGGTTGGTTTTGATGGGTTGGATGATATATCCGGCGTAGACAGGTGTCAAGGTTGTCAATGTCACTTTCACGGCATGGGCAGTTGGAGTCTAACCGCCGTCCTGAGTAAAGCCGTTTACTGTCATTGCGTTGACGCCTGCCAGGCGGTTCGATGCTACCTGGGATAGTTACCAGCACTCATCTGGTAGGGGCTATCTATTACCTATTGTATGAGGATCTTTCAAGCATTTGCTAAGCTTATGTGGCTTTTACGGGTGGTGGTGGTGTGGGATTTGCTCTGCTACGCTGACTTGAGTCTGTCCAGAGCAACAAGTAAAATAGAGTTTACGACCTTGAACGGGAACAACAACGAATATGAGAATCTCAAAATGGTGCATCTCTAACCCGTGGATAATCAACGTTGACCCCAATGGCTTATGTTTTGATGTAATTTATTCTGTGACTCGATATCGATACGCCTCCCTATGCTACTCTAGTCTAGCTATCCAAATTACTCTGGGTGCTCTCAGCCCAGATTCAAGCCCAACGAAAGGCAAAGAAGAGAAAGGGAAAATATTCATGCACACACACACACACTCTCTCTCTCTCCTAGGCCGAATGCAAAGATAGACCGAGGAAAGCTATTCCATTGATAATGTGCTACCGATGTCCTTAAATAAAGATGGGCACAGACGTCACATGTACCCGACCGGCCTAAGGCCATCCAACAACCGGCAAACAAAACCATTCCTGCCTGAGTCCACCCAGACCTCCCCCCAACCACCCTCCGTCACTCTCACCACAGGAGACTCTGTCGCCACCCAGCTCAACAAAAGTGACGGTGCAAAGGATTCTCAACCCCGTGCGCGAAGGAAAGGAGTGGACCCTGAAACCAAGATAGACCAAAACAAACCGAAGAAGTCCGATTTCATGTCCAACGCATGGATTCATACTTTTGTCCTAGAATGCGGATCATATTTCCCCCTAGAATACGAACGCGGGATTTGCCCTCCTTGGAAGTTGGCGGCCATCCCTGTGGCTGGCAGCCGTTCTGGCTCGGGGTCCCGGGGACCACCCACCCGTCAAGGGATAGAGAGGCACCATCAAGCTCGTGAGATGCAACTCAATAGCATTACCGCCTGGTTCGCAATGTCGGTGAAAAGTCCTAAAGTGGTGGTTGGAACTTTGTAACCATAGTGATGTTGATTCCTGGCTTGAAGCATGAAACGTAAAAGCTGGGCGAGCGGTCTGGCGGCTCGGGATTAATTCGGAGATACTGGTGGTGATGTTCTCTCTCTCCAGTGAAGCTTGATCTTGCATTAATGCACCAGAGCGGGTATATTGTGCGAGACAACATTAGACCGATGCAGGGAGGTTCACGGGCCTTGTTGTTGTCTTTGTTATTGTCGGGGGATGGTTGATGTTGGATAGGGTATAGGAACTTGGAAGATAGTTCAACTAGTTTTTTGGTGCTGAGCAAATAGAATACAGCAGACAAACAGACTGATAGAGAATTCAATTCATACGATAGTATCTTGTTACAGATGGTATCAGGCATCCGGTTCCGTTTCTTCTGTGGTAAAATAGCATTTATGTAAGTTATTCCATGCAAGATCACTTTGTAGTCCGTATAGTTCTATCAGACGTATCAACACATTCAGTAGCACCTTTACGTTTACAACGATATGTGGTAGAAATGATTTCACAATAATTTAGTCTGTTTCTCTGATCAAAGAAGAATAAATGTTTCAAAGTTGCTTTCATGCAGATGATGAGTCTGCATAGTCATACTACAACGTATACCCGTGGATATATACCGCAGATACAGATATATATATATATTCTCATTCCACCATCAATACTGCACAACCAATCCATATGCCATATTTTGGATTTGAATGTATTACTATACTACGTAGAATCGCAATTCATACACTTCTTACATGAACTCTACAGTACTTCCGTCATAATGTCTGTGTTAGCAAGCCAGAGACTCATAGTCTTAGGAGGCCTATGATTTGGTCACCAGGCTACCGAGGACTACCAGTAGAGTCTAGATGCCTACTCAAAAACGTATCTACTCCGTACAGCCTCAGGAACGCAAGCCCAGGCATGCTTATTGGCCAGTAAGAGACCCAAAGCCAGCGAAGTTCATTGTTACACACACAGTCCCAGTGATTTGAGCAGCTCTTGCCAAACGCGGGCACCACACTCAACTTGATGACATCAAAGCTGGAGGAAACATTCCGGTCAATTTCTTTTACTAATCCTGAGATGAGTGTCTGAGGGATAGTACATTGCCCAACGCTAGGTTGTGGGTCGTTGAACATTGTCGGAGTCGGCGCAACCCGGCTCAACCCCTAGCAAGGCGAAACGGAAAACAGGAAAAATGAACTTGAACTGTGCGGTGTTAGACTTCCTAATAGTCGGCCAGCATATAGTGGAACAAGTGACAGAGGTCATGGAAGCTCCCTGCGTGCGGAAATTAGACAGAAACTAGTGTAGCCACCCCTTACCTGTGTCTCTTCCCCACATGGGAGTTGAGGAATTGGTGAGACGGGGACACCGAAAAAGAGAACCAATGAATACGAAGATGCTAGCGCCCATACTATGCTCTGCAAACGCCCTGCAACCTAACTCGCTATCAGTAGCTTGATCTTCGGGGCTGGCTGCTGCATACCACACGAGCTCCATCGGGAGATGGCTTGCGGGCCTACGGCATGAGGCAAACCAGGACTTGGTCATGAGACGGAAGCTAACAGGTAGGGTGAGTGTCGTCTCTCGCCCAAGTCAGCTTATGCCAATGTCATGTGTCATTGGTCAACATATTTTTCTAGCTTCAAAGTATAACCTAATGTAACGTGAACGTTGGGCCCTCGAGGGGGATCGACGGGTTGCATAGCGATCTACGGGATCAAGACAGGAGGAATGAGACAGTCTGGTGTGCAACACAGGCAGTTCTGAACGTTTGTGGTATGCCGCTCGACTGGCATCCTGGTAGATCCATACCGTTGGCTGGGACAGACGTCTTCGGGCCCAAGGATCTGTCTTACTGTAGGTAGAGTAGTGACATGGACGACCATTCCTTGCCTATTGCATTCCTGAGGGAGTGACGGCAGGTATCATGCCCCTTCGAAAACATACTGGGACTCCAAAGTAGGGCTTCCAAGGCAGCTCACAGACCACCAGATTTGTCTATATAAGGAGTCGTCTTCATCGGCCAAATCTGTTCTTCATCCACACAATCAATTCACTCTCATTCTCTCTTCACAGTTCAGTCTTCAAGACAAGCTTCTTTCGCTTACAAACATCTCCGAGTCTACTCTCGTTCAAAACCAAACCCACCGTCACAATGCAGTTCTCCGTCGCCGCTGTTCTCGCTCTGGCTACTGCCGTTGCTGCTCTTCCTCCTGCCGCTGGCACTGGCGCTGGCCAGGAAGTTGGCAACGCCAAGAACCAGTTCCCTCTTCCCGCCGACTTGACCACCAAGCAGGCCGCCGAGAAGTGTGGTGACCAGGCTGAGCTTAAGTGCTGCAACAAGGTCATTAAGTCTGGTGACTTCACCCAGGCCGAGTCTGGTATCCTGAACAACCTCCTCGACCTCCTCAATGGCAAGCAGGGCCAGGGTCTTGGTCTCTTGGATGAGTGCACCAACATCCCCGTCATCCCCGTTAGTAAGTATATAGCCATACGAAGTATATCTAATGGTATACTAACAATGCCCAGTCCCCATCCTCAGCCCTCAGAAGCAGTGCTCGCAGCCCATCTCTTGCTGCCAGAACACCAAGTCCAGCGCCGTAAGTACCAGAATCTATTCTCTCTCTGTGACTACTGTTAACCCTTCACAGGATGGAAGCGTCGTTGGTCTTGCTCTTCCTTGCATTGCTCTCAGCTCCCTTGTGTAAGCGATCACAATCGTCACATTGGTAGCTCGAGGAGCGCGGGATGGAATACATCTATGAAATACCTCCATAGTATCATTTGCAGTGTCTTGTACTGGCATCTCGTGTCGTGGAAGCCTCGGAGTGATAAGACTGTTCTGCTTACTTTCTGATTTTCCTGTGCAGCCTCGTTCCAGCATTGCGACTGGAAATAGTTATGGGCTCGCCAGCTTAATAAATAGACTTTTTATATTTACTCTCTTTCTCCATATCCTCGTAGACCTGTAGTTCATTCCATTGTGCAAGCTTTTCGAGACAGGCTTTCGAATCCTGTATATATAGTCGCTCTCTACTCAGTACCTAGGTTTGGCTTTCCTTTGTCCTATACGGCTAATGACACTACGGACCTAACGTTCTCACTTATGCGTAGTTTTTCCATGAGATTCCTGCCGTCTGCGTTACCGGTATTTTCCTACTTCTGAAAATCTTCTATTTTTTGTTTTAGAAAAGAAGTAGACGCCAGCCAGTCTATCTCTCAAACGACAGCCTTCCATCACATTCATGCGGTGAGCCTTGTCTAGTCGATCCGTAGCAGCTGCAAATGCGTGATAGCCGAAGTCTTGACGATGATCTACACCTCTTCTCCAGCTCCATGCCCGTTTTATCTATCGGCGTGGAGTGTTGTCATGTGTTGTTTAGTTGTTGGAAGGAAGAGCTCTATTCTAACTCATACTTTTTCCAGTAAGCTCGTCATAGGTTTGACGTTTTACATAGTTCCTGAGCAATGCTAACAGTCTTCACAGCTGCAAGTTCTTGATATCGTCCTTAAATTTACGAACTCTCGTTGCATTATCTCACCTTGAATTGGTACTATTCATACATAAGACATCGTCGAAAAGAAAGAACAACACCTGTATCATACACCACCCACATCAACGACAAGATCACCTGTACAAGAACCCCCATAATAGTATACATATCAAGAACTTCCAGTCCAAAACATCCTCAGAAAGGAAACAAAACCCCCCGATATCGGCCAAAGCAAAAACCCCGAACCCCAAACGCCGTTCCTAGCAAAAAAGAGGCTTCTCTTTACCGGCAGCCGTAGTTGATGCTACCATCGTCCCATCCGCCGATTTGCGGTTCCCAAACCGACCACCGCGAAACATCACCGCAGCCATCCTTCGTTCCTTCTTCAGATTAGCTGGCTCATCTTCCGTCATTGTGGCCGAGGACACAGAAGAAGACAGCGATGCCGCCGACCCGCGCGTGCGAAGCGGCGATTTGGGCGGGATACTAGGGAGTCGGATATTGGATAGTTTTGGCGCCGACGCCGCAGTAGCTTGCAGGAGGTTGATGATTTCGACGAGAGATTTACGACGACTAACCCGCCAGGCTGGCATGCCTTCTTCGTCCTTGGCTGGGACTGTTGTGTCCTTTCGGTCATCCTGCTCGTTTGTCTTCGGTTCAGTTTCTTTATCGGCTTCTTCGGGGATGTCTTCGATCATCCGGCTCCTCACTTCGGGTCCCTTGACGGTGTTTTTTCTTTCCGGTCTCTCGGGGATGCAGTGTGCTTGTTGGCTGTCTTGTTTGACCTGACCATCCCCTTTCTCTTCATCCTGGCCACCTTCCTCATCTTCAACATCCTTCTCCACACCTTCAAACCCAGTATCCCCCTCAACAGCAACAAAAGTCTCCTCAGACACCTTCACCGGCGCCTCAACTCCCTTCTCCAAATGACCACCCCCACATCCAGAGCGCGGCCTCCCCTCATCATCCTCATCCTTCTCCACGATCCGGATAGAAGGCTTCTTCACCAAATCGGGGTTCATCCCCGGATAAGGCACAGGATCCTTAGGCGGCACAGCTGGCGGTGTATCGCGCTCATGTTTCTGTTTATGTCTCTGTCTCCGTCGACCCTGGAGACAAGATCTGAAGAGTTTAGATAAGATACTCATTGTGTCTCTTTCCCGTTCCCCTTCTTATCCAGCTTCTGATTTTCGGCTGGACCTGAACGAACACCTTCGTGACAGGCGATGAGGGGTCCAATCGAGGGGTTTATATGACTATCGATAACAGGGCACTGTGTATTTGTTTGGGTTTGTTCGTTTTCGGGCTATAGTGATTGCGGGGGACGGGGGGGGGATCTTTTCTCTTTTCCTTTCCCAGGACACACACCCCGGGTGGGGATCGTGGTAGATAGGGATAGACGCGGTGCGCTGGGTTCTTGCAGGATGGACACCTGACTTATGCACAGTGTGTGTGTGGGTTTGTATATGTGTATAGTACTTTACTCCCAGTGGAGGAGTAGTTTGTTTGGTGAGTGAGGCATGGCGGGAGGGGTTATATGTGCGCCCCTGTTCCACCTACTACCTGGCCAGTTTTTACTTTGGTTCCTGGATCCTTGGTTTCTGCTTCCTATGTTTACTTTGTATTTCGTCTCTGGGGAGTTGAGTTGAGTTTGGAATTCAACGTAAGGAGGCTACCGTAGCAGGTGGGACGTAAGGATGCGGTTCGTTTAAGGCCGTTGTGTGCTACAGGCAATATACTGGATTTTACTTCCGTGGGGAGAAGTATGCGAGTGATTGGTGGCTATGGCACAGTGTGTGTGTGTGGACGGGGTGGTGAGGTTTTTATGGTTATTGCATGGTTGATCTTAATATTTATTGCATGTGTGCTGGACTCTGGGGAAGAGTAAGGGAGGTTAGAGGAGGGATTGAAGTGGTTGTACAACATGTTAGTATGTTGAGGGCTGCGGGTTAGGGCTAATTCTGAATCTTGGGTCGGGGGCTCGTGAGAGCCCATTTTCGTGCAGCGAACGTGTACATTTCTGGGGATTTTTATCAATGCTCCGACTTCGTGGGTATCGGGGGTAATTTTTTTTTTCCTTCTTCTTCTTTAATTTGTGGCTTTGTTTTTTTTTTTTTTTTTCTTTT